AAAAAAAAAAGCCCCAGCTTTGCTAAAGGTCATCAGGAATTGTGTAGGGACTGGGAATATATAGGGTCCTCTCTTGTGCTTCTGAAAGTGCCCAAATCAAGCTGGCGGCGGGGTTTGTGATAAGGCACGGGCAGTCAAAAGTGCTCCCCTCTTAGCGAAAGCTTCCTCAAACTCCTGGGCTCCAGATACAGGGCTGGAGGTGATTGCCCTCCTTTATTTCCCTGTTTGGACCCTGGAAAGGGAGGAAGGGAAAACGGCAGGAGGGATCTTTAGAGGACAAAATTACTTTCTCTGCAACAAACAAAAAAATTTACAAGTTAAATGTCACACAGAATGGTCCTATAAAAGTTAAATGATAATTGCTCTGTTGCAGGAAGCGCCGTGAACCAAACACAGAAAGAAGCACACCCTCCTGCCATTCCACACCGCCTGCAGGAATCCACCTTGCCCTTTGCCTGCTTTCTGCAGCCCCTCGCGGGATCACCCAGGCTGCGAACGACTGGGCAGGGACCTCCCTGCCATCACTGCGCCCACCAGGTTCCATCCCTCCTGGCCATCACTAGACCTTTCTCTCATGTTTTTGGATTTAACTGCAACAAACGCATGGGGGATCAAACCCATACGGGCTCTGAACTGACCAAAACGATATCAAGTATCATTAAACAGAGCAGAGGTGGTGGATCTGAGCGGGACTGGGAGCTTTGATTTCCCCTCCGCCTCCCCTCCCAGAGGGGTGCTGAGCTCTTTAACTCCTTGCTTAGGCAGGCAGCAGCGGGGAGACGCCGACCTTCAGACCGAACAGCTCAAGCTGAGCAGGGAGCAAGCTCTGTCAAGAGACGTGCCTTAAAAATCGAACTCTGGCTTCAAGCAGCACAAACGCGCGTCCTAATTGTACCTCGTACCGCGCGCTAGGCCGTCCAGATGACACTCACATTCTGGTGTTAATAAGCCATTTGTCCATCTGGTGCTTGCACAGATGACACGCCTTCTCAATGGTATTTTAAAAGTGAGAAGTATTAACTCTATAAATATGTAGATAATATCTGAAAAGAAATTCCATAAAAATCAACTCCAAACCGTTGTTGATGAACATGGCCGTGACCGGAGCCAAACGGCACTCCATAAATCCTAATATGCCTGCGCTGATCCCAGGGCAGTGCTTACTGCAAGCAGCTTTAACTGGAAGAAATCGACAGCAGTAGCCACTCACTTGACATTGCACAAACCAAAGACACGCGTGCTGACCACTTCTTACCTCCACGCAGCACCAGGACTGTGACCGGGCCGGCAATCGGCCGGTATTTCCAGGGGTGAGAGCTCCAATTGAGGGAACGGGGCAGCGGTACCTGTCCCCAAAGCAGCTCCTGGCCCCTCCTGCGGTACAAGAGCAAGCTACAGCTCACCTGCGTGGGGCCACATCTGCGAGGGACGACGCAGACAGATCAACAGCAAGGAGAATTCGGAGACAGACTTGTACTAGCAGCTGGGGCAGGTTTTACTCTTACTAATCAAACTTGCTGCAGAAAGTCTAGAAAATCAGATTTCAGAGGCAAGAAGCCATGTGTCCAACTCCATACCTCTGTCAGCAGAAAACTGTTCCCTGCGGAGTATTTTTCTGGCACAGGCACGAAGATAGCAGTAGGTCTCCCTTTCCCAAAGCATCCCAGTGTTAAGATGAGAGAATCTCAATTTAAAACAAAATATCCACACTGCAAACAAAGCCAGCCTTCCTGGAGAGCAGTAATTGGAAATACTCACTTCCGTGCAGTTATAGTCTGGTAATTCTAAGCAGTTAAGTTGCAGGGAAATATTACAGAAAATTGATATTCTTGCAACACAGTGTTCTGAAGGGAGCGTCTTTACACCCCCTTTTGCCAAGAGGAAATCATCAGAGAAGAGTTTTTCCTTTTCTCCTGCCTCTTACTATTCCAGAGAGCAAGGATAGACAGTCCTTATTAACAAAGGGAAACTTAGGAACCAACACGAGAAAGTGGGGCACGCACTGTATTTTTTCTGGACAGAGTAGCAGTCTTTTACTGATAAACAAACAGGATGAAATTGCTAATTACGGCCTGGAGCTAGGAGGACTTCTATTAGGAGCATCCTGCTGGAGTCTGAGCACCTGTTCTCCACAGGAAGAAATGGTTCATCTCCAAAGGACGGACTGGAATTAGAACGGCTGCAACCTTTTACGAGGCCATAGCAACCTCTCCAGTCATTACACCAGACCGATTAAAACTGCTTTGATCCTGTTCTCCTTGCACCGACCTGGCTTTTTCCCCAGCCCAGCACATTTGACTTCGCAGGAGGCTTTTGTTTCAATTTTACAACCCGTTTAATAGCTTGAATTCCTAAAGAGACCCTTTCAGAATGCCAGTACGCTACCACAACACATTACAACAGGAGACGCCACAGCAGTCTGCTTGTTCGTTGCCCCGTGTGACCGCAGGCAGGCACTCGTTCCTGTGTTACGACTTTCATCCATCCTGCTTCCCTCCCTCCCAATCACAATCGAACCCCACAGGTCAGAGAGGCTTTTTAATGCTACGCTGAGGGCGTATGGAATCGTAGGATGTTCTCTCCGAGGAACAGCATCAACGAGGTTTCTTGCTCAGCCCCCCAGCTGCGTGACTCTGAGCCTGCTCAGGCACAGGCTCATCGAGGTCTCTTTTCCGCAAAAAGCCTTAAACTGAACTCGACAAAAAAGCAAAGCTACATTTAATATTCTGCTGGTGGGAGAGGAAGAAAACACTGAAACATGAAAGCTTGTGATGTATTCCTGTGTGCTTTTGAATAAAGAGCTAGAAAGTGACGCACAGACAATCCCAACACACTTATTTCACACTGTTCCCGGGTAGAGCAGGATGCTGCAGGCTACAGCATGACCTTGGCATAAACAAGCAGCAACCAGTACTTGACTGAAGGAAGGACAATTACTGAGCAGCGCCCGGCTATCAAACTATTCCAGTGAACGGGCAACATTTTATTTCCCCTAATGGTCACAAGAACATTTGTTCCTGAAGGTTTTCGAAGTGATCTGGCAGGTAAAGCATCAGACTGGAGCCAAGAGGAGGAGCTCTGTAATGGGGTTTTAACTTACCTGCTGCGCCCTTCAGCCATTTGCTGTATCTCTCACGCTTTCTTTTATCAATACTTGGTATTCGTTCTTCGGAGTCCAGACTCCCATGCAACACAGCGAGACCTGTCAGTACTCTGAGAACAGGT